AGCTTTAAACTACTTCGTGATCACAGCATGGTAGGATTCTATTAGAAACGTATTTATTGTTTTCTATGCTGAAGCATACTAATGTATTCCATGTGATTTGTTCCCGTTGAATTCTGTCTACCACCACCACATACAATAAATGTTACTAAAATCACAATGCTGACATTTTCCAATGTTGGAGTACTTAACTCTTCACATGCGCTCTCTGTCAATTATCGAAAGTACCACTGAATTGTACGCTTGTGGTCAAATACTAATTCATTCAAACTTCAAAATATTCACCATTTTAGTAATATTTCACTCAATAATATTAATATTAGTAATAATAATAATAATAATAATAATAATAATAATAATAATAATAAATAATTAACATCACACAAACTTGCATTTAGTGTGTGATCTTTAACTAGATCGACCCTCGGTGACAATGGTTACCATGCATCCAAAAATGTCAAAGACCGCTAGTGATGAAAGGAGTAGTGAAACATTCCAAGGGAAATTAAAATGGAGATAAAGATTTTCGTGATCAGTTTATTTCGACGTCTTTTATACACTGGTACTACGTCCAACAAAAGCAAATCTGCTATATACTATCTGTAGTATGTAGTTGAAAACAGATCTAATCCGTCAAACTTTTAAATGTTCGACTAGCCCTTCTTGTCTGAGAATGCTGAGATGTATCTTTCAATGAGCTAAACGTATTGGTTCATCTGAACAGCTGCTGTAGTTTGTTTCATGTTAAGGAGCACTGAACCAATTAAACTACAAAACACAGAGGTAGCAATTACAAAGGTTCTTGTGAACTTTTATTCTCGTTAACTAACAAGTATTACATAAGAACATGTCTTATTCCCTGCGAGATCCGTCGCTATGTTGAGTACGGTTGATACATACAGGGTGACCAGACTAACAGGTCTTGCAACATACAACCGACAATCTAATTTTAAGAATTGTCGCAACTACTTTGGAATGATATAGCTGCCAATATTTGGGCATGTTTTATTATTCTCCGTGCTAAACGCTGCTCGTTTGTCGCTTTAAGTAGGCAAGGTACAAACCAATCTATCGGGTATATCAGAATTTTCGACGTATTTCGAAATATTCTCGTACGATTCTAGTACTTTATTACCATTTTAGATAGTTGTTTCATAGGATTAACCTTACTACTGTATAGTGTAGAACGTAAAGAAATTGCAAACTAATTCGAGCATACCCTTATTTTACTCTATATTTTACCAGTGTCTATTCTGCATGGCATACACAGAACATGATGAAAGCATAAGGTGATCACAGCGCTAACGACTATCAGGAATCTCAATGTTGCAAATAGATTTATTCGCAGAACTGAGGCTTTCTTCAAACGGATTACAGTTTGTCAATTAATCGAGACTTATCTATTTCAGCTGCGCCGAATCGATACAATTATTTACAAATACAATAGGTTTTCAGGGTTGGCATTGCATTCATGTAATCGATATTACAATTTGGCAATAACAAGCACAGAATTGATACATGTCTAATGATAATACTGAACTTCTTTATTTTACCTTATACTCAAGGTTTGACCACGACAAAAAGGGTAGAATCACTTTTTCGCCAGTGGCAAATGTGAGCCCAAACGAATGTGTTAAGTTCGGCTTGCGTGTGTGTAGCCTGTTCAGTGACAATACGATGGCAGTAAGGTAATTAACGGAAATATGCGAGTCGATAAAGAGACCGACGCATTGACGTTTGAGATCCTGTACGATAATTATAACGAAAAAAAAGAATCTCCGTTGATCAATACAATTATCTGTCGAAAGTAAATCAATTTCGAAAACTTAATTACTGTTGTTTTTAAATAGTCGTCGTGTTGATTCTTTAAATCCAATGAAAGGTGAACGTTATGATCCCAAGTCTTTGTCCATAATAATAACTTTTGTGTATTCGGACAAAGATGTTGTGTGTTAATACAGTATGACATCAATGCAGCTAAGAATCGTCACATTGAAGTACAACGTTTGAAATGTTAGTACATGAAAGAATACGTGTTTCGTAGCAGCATGTTGGCATGGGTTGACGCTACGACATTTGCGTATTCCTACTATATGTCATAATCCACTAATCTACGCAATTATATGCGCTTTATAAGCTGCCTTTTCAAACATTAACACATCACGTACATTACTATTTATCAATAACCCACAAACCGGTCTAATCTTTACCCTCCTGAGATTAGTCGAGTCCTCTAGATAACATTGTTAAACAAAGGAATATTGATAATGCAGAGAATGCAGGGAAAGGGAAACCACAGTCTTTGTTCGAGCGTAAGATTAAAGAGTACTCATACTCGTAATAAGAAAACTAATCAAATATTGGTACGTCTACAATTTTTTTTTTATCGAGAGTATTCCCAATTCGTCACAAGTATTATATACACCTACAATGTGCTGAAGGTCTAACAACACATTGTCCATTGTATTATCTATGTAAGTATATTTGTTGCGTTACATATCTTACACAAGGTCTTTGCCGCTCACTTTGAGCAGGGATGAAAATGCAACACGGTATTACTGTCTGAGACAGTGGAGTGATTTTAGTAAATGTTCTACTCTCCGGAAAGCGGAATTCTCTGAACCATTACTAATCGTAACTACTTTATGCCGCTTTATTATTACAACACAACGTTAGTCGTTAATTTTAATCATACCGTACTATTTAAAATAAACGTTATACACGTACGCACTTACAAAACGTTTAAACGGGTAGATAAATAAATGTTTATATACATCAATCAATTGAGTGGTAATCATCTTTACGGCGCACCTGCTCACGTGATACAAATTTTACACACAGAAATGTTTTAGGATAAAAAACAAGATAGAAATTATCTAGTTATGTAAATTGTGAGTGATATTATTATTGTATTTTAGAAATGTACGTATAACGTATATATTGGGAAAAATATGCGACATTGTTTAGCGTTTCGAGTTTCTATTTGCATAGTGTGGACTCTTTTCGGGTAATATTATATTAAGGATAATAATATTTTTTCATTAACGCATCATATGCTGTATTAATAATATTAGGGATTTATAGTTAAATCAAATTGTGCTGACGAGAAATACAGATTGAGTTCTTTAACAAGTTTTATCTATGTCGGTAAAGTTCATCTTTTTGGGACATATTTTACGAGCATGTACTTTACAATTTGCTCACGTGATACACTAATAAATGAATCTATAATTCTGAAAACCCGAGCATCGCCTACCGTTTGTGACGTGAAGTATTCAATAATTTGACATAACCTTGTTTCAGTAGTCCTGTCGTGTAATTTCAAATCGTTGTAGCGTAAGGAATTGACAATCTGAGGAGAAATAGCGGAGGTTGATATTGCTAATAAAGGCATATGCAGCCACGTATAATATTTGCAAAATACATGGAGCAATACCGGTATATATTGTACATGTGCTGAAAAATGTTCAGGTAAATGATTGTGATTATTTCAACATTTGCCGCTGGTTTTGTAGCATGTAGTATGAATATTTTTTTCCGCGGCACCACAAATACACAGTAGAATACACTTGTAATGTACAAAAGTGAACACAAGAATGAACAATGTGAGGTATGCATACAAATATATCTTATATAGACATATAAATGAATAAACGTGTATCGGCGAATTCAAGTGACAACAGAAATACCGAATTCGGATATTTATATAAAAACATAAAACTATGAAAAGAGAGAAATAAGTACCGACGAATGTATATTTACTTTCATGTATAGATAAGCATACTGCCTAACAACTGACACAGGAATGACAAATCGAGTTAGAAATAATAAGAGAATTTCTTATGTAGTTGTCAAATAGAAAAAAAAGATATAAAAAGCTAGATACATTTATGTATAGTTTCTTTTTTTCGTTCAGTTTTTACAGTTTCGCCAAGTTTGTTGAACTAGAGCTAGAAGTCAAAGAAACATACTAGATAAAGACGAAATACAATTAACAATAAGTGAAAATTGTTTACCTTAAGTTGCTGCGTTGCCTGAATCGTAGGATGAGGCTTGGGTGCTGATAGCGAGAAGACTTCTTAGGTTTTTACCTTATATATCGTCTAAAGGCTATATTCATCAATTGATCTCACATTGAAACGGACAGCTAACAACGAAAAACCTCGTTTTCGTGTATCTGCGTGTGTGATGATTGGCGATCGTCTCTTCGCTGTGTCCGTTACCACAGCTACCGGATGAACGTCACTTCATTGATAATTTATTTCTCACAAATAATGAAATCTGCATTACTTTGCAAATGCGCTGTATGATGCCATACCCCGGCTGTCATGACGACGATGATCATAATGTAATACCAATGGTTTTCAATGGAAAATCATGCGTGTAATCCTAAACTCCCAGCGCTGTGTCCATCCTTTCATTCCCTACTAACTAATGCCGACATACGATTGTCAAAAAATACCAACAATTACATGGTCGATGTGTGACGTGACATTCGGTCTCTGATAGTAAGTCCATGTGGACTTTGTGAGAAATTTCACCTGAAATATAATGAAAGCTCATTTCCCCCCATAATCAAAATTTTCTCATTACAAAGTAACATTGATCCATAGTTGTTATTATCGTTGATCAACCAGTCAGTGGTCTCAAATGCATTATGTTCACGTTGCAAATGGTTCAATATAACTTCAACATAAATATATACTAGTTTCGTATTGGATATTTTGTGATATGTCTTTTTGAGCACACTCGCAATAAAAGTAAATCAAATCGGTGTGATTTTATCATTGTTATGTTGTATATTTATAAAATCATAAAATTATGTTTGGCCATTTAGAACTCGCTGAAATACGGATGCTGGAAATGATAAGCATCACGACGGGAAAAGTTCATGAAAATTACACATAAATTATATTTATCAGTTTGTCTAATTAAATTGCCATGCATATGACACAGAGACGCACTGGGATTTGTAAGATAAAATTATTTACATAATTCAGTTGAAATTACCACTTTTCCTGGCGTTGAATCACAAATCGGGTATTGTAGTGTGTGGATCCTTACATATTCACTCATAAAGGCTATTCTCCCTTATCTAGTTTAAGTTTAAGCTGTATATTATTCAAGCCACGGACGCACATTACGATGGCCTTACTGGCTAGTATATATTTCCGAATAACGACATAGACTATAAATAACATTACAGTATTACAATATATTTATACCAGTCGATTAATGACCAATATACTAACTAATGCGTTCATTCTTTTTTTTGTAATTTATAGGGACTTCCTTTATTTCAAACTGCTATAGATGTTATTTCCTCGTTTACTCTTTTATTAGCTGCGCTACCAGAAATGTAGTCAATTGACGTCATTTACATGTCAATAATAAATAACCGTGTTGGAGTAAACAGCATCAGTAAATTCATAACAGAAACTAATCTTTAGGTAATATTGTTTGTACGTCTTCGGATAATATAGTGTAATACACACAAATGAATATTTGTTATGTCACAATTGCTTCTACAATAATAGTATTCACAGAAGAGCAAATAATTGACATTTCTAACAATGTTGAATTGCATTATGTAACTAAGCATAGTATGATATAACTTTTTTACATTAGTGGGAACATCGGCGAACATTAGAGATATCAAAAAGACCATATACTATATTTATTATTACCCGAAGGCATTTAAATACACAGAATTTACACTGCCGGTTTGAAAATATAAGACGAGTGGGAACACTAATTGTCAACACGAATATATAATCAATCAGAGATTCATTCTATTTCGAGTTCTCAAATTGTTATGCATATATTCAGACATACACCATGATCAATGTCAAACCTACTATACAAATTGTGAACGTGCAAATGGCATCGTAATTTTACCTGCGTTTAAAAAACACGATCATCTTCAATTTGGTTTGTTAAAATAAAGTGAATCTGCGCATCCTTTTTATCACAGCAGGTATACATCAGCTACTCTGAATTATGTGAGTACTGGCTTCGCCTACAGCATATTTTATACACAGTAATGTAACTTGTATTGCACTTGTAATGTAGTACTAAATATCTTGCCAATTTTGTCGTGATGAAGATATTAAAATAGAATATGTGCCTGTTTGGAAGGTGACTCATATTGCGGAGACAATTTTATTTATTTGCACACATAATTAAAATGAGAAACGCACTCACGACTGCCAATTTCCAAGTTCCATAAACGCAAAGATTAAATTAAGGCTCGCAATCCCATCACGAAAGGTTACGACACAACTTTAGCGTTTGAGTCAACAGTGATTTTTTAGTAGCACATGACATCGAAAAGCAGCAATCTTGAATTGTTGCAATGGTAATAATAATATATATCATATTTATTTTAAGGTATGTCTTATCATAACAATTTTTATCATGCCCTCTATTGCACAGAAATGGGAATTCTTCTGATTAAGTGTGAGATTCTTATGAATGTAAATATATAATAAATATAAATATGACAGTGATTTATTAGTAGGTGCTGAAGTTACTTCGATCCGCCATGAAGACACTCCTATTCGACATATACTAAAGATATTTTCAAATTAAGAGTAACTATCGACATTATTTGTTGACATCGAATCAACACTTTTTTCAAAGTGTTCTTTTTATTGAGTTATAACTAGTAATTTGTAGATGTGGCAATTGACTATCTTTGGATCAAGTCCAGGTACAATTAACCAATACTAGTAAAAGAAGAACCCTGTTTCTCATTTGTTACCTGACAAAGTGAGGGCGATTCAAAGCTATTTGCACCAATAGCAATTGGCGTTACAGAAACGGGTGGCGTGGTTACGAGAAAATAATTGTCCTCGCGACAGGATGGAGTAAAATCCAATGCGCATCTTGTATTGACTAACTCAATTGTCAGTCTATTTTCTTTCTGATTGAGTAGGTTTTAATATCGCCACAGCCATCAGAATTAACTTAAAGAAACAAATTGGACTGTTTCTCCGGCAAAATGACATTTTTATTAGATAAATTAGCTTTGTGAAAACGATGAACTGAAAGCCGAGCCGTAATACGCGTGCGTTTTAGGGCGGAAGGAAAACACTGCGCATAGTATTAATACATAAATAGAGGAAAACGTCATTTTCAATCCATAGTTGTATTATCAGAAATACAAAGACAGTATATATAAAGAGCTTTAACATACCTAATACTTATCCATCTGAAAACATTATATTTAATAATTTAAAAGTAATTACTAATCAAATACTAAACATGGCGTCTAGCAAAAATACAATACAGTGATTTAAAATATAAGTTCATGCATTTTTCATGTTCAATGTTCTACCTTGTTTCGCTACGTTAGATTCATTTAGTTTACAAAGGCATTCAAGTCTTAACTACGTTGACGCGGTAAAGAAGACTGCATGACTTTGATAGCGATCTATGGTGTTATCCCGGCCGTGGAGACCTGCGTCATATTTCTGTTGACAATTAAATGCAATGTTTTAAGTTAGTGCACAGCTGAGTGACCGGCGTTATGTTATAAAATTCACGAATAGTACCGAAGTAAACTCACAGATTGTTCTATTTGGGAAATTATATCCCATATCTAATATCTAATTAGTAACTAGTTTGTTGTATGTACATGCACAGCTATAGATAAGAGACACATTGATGAGTAAAAAACATATCTGATCTGATACCAATTATTAATCTACCAGCAAAGTTACCACGAGTACGGCAATTGTTTGAAACAACAGAAATAAAAGACGTTAACCACGTTCACTTTTTAGGAAAAATTTCACATTTGTAACATACTAAATGTCTTCATCGCATTCATGATTTTCTGTCGCACGAGGAATGAAAATTACTTTTTTGATGTCTTATTATCCGGTTTGATAGCTTATCCTTAACAAGTAAATGCCCACAACTACAGTATAATCTCAGAACAATTAATTGCCAATGACATAGTGGAAGTTGCAGTTATGTTTAATTTGAAGCTCGATCTCACTTGACCTTGAGTAATTTATATCCGTTTACTCGGCGGCTATTATGCACGTTTTTCATTGTTCGAACTTATCTGCCATGTACATTTCAATACTCCAACGCAAAGCTGTATACATGATAACAAGACTATTTGCAGCCGGCGAGGGAGCATCGAGAGAAATTATTCAGATTTGTTGATCATCCCTCAACAGATTGATATGTCATTTCTTGTTATGATGAATTCAGTCATGATTATACTCGGTTATCGAATGCTATTAGCGTGTCTTAGTACATCCCCGGGACTGATAAGACATGTTCATCAGAAGAGAAACAAAAAATAAACGGCGTCGTTCACGACCTAACTATAGTCTGCCTTAAGTGTATATTTGGCACATCATTGCACAATACGTATATTTATTCACACGTTATATAGGTGTGTATTAGTTTGTCGTAAACAATTAATGACGTGACAACTGTAATCGCTACAGAAATGAATTAGAAATGAATATTATATTCTTAGAGTGAACAAAATTTACGCATTTGATTGTAGTAGCTTTTTACACAAGCCATTTCAACTCCATGAATTGTATGTTAATACGCGAAACACCCCAGAGAAACAAATATTATTAGAGATTGAGAAAGACAATCTTTAAAAAAAGATATAAAATATAGTAAATACTGAGGATATTGTTCGAGTGTAGAGTGAGAGATAACATATACAATGTAATTGCCCGAGAAATACCAATACCAATGTTTTTGACAATAAAGATATTATTCAATAATTATATATTTTTCTTTGGAAGGATGGTACAGTACAGTACAGTACAGTACAGTACAGTACAGTACAGTACAGTACAGTACAGTACAGTACAGTACAGTACTTATTTTGAGGATCAAAACGGAATATGAATACCACCGTTTTAAAAATCAGCTACCTAAATTTGAAACAATTTGGGCAGTGAACGGTGTGTTATGTGACATTCAGAATGATGCACTTCAAATTCATCTGTAATCTGCCACCATGGTTTTACTTGTCCACTTCGCTGTTTAGGGCTTTTGCCCTATTGAGCCATAGTTGGTCTTTATGTATCCTTTTTGGTAATTGCTGTGTTAATCCCTGGTTTCGTGACA